ACGGGCTCTGATACTGGCTCCGATTCGTGTTTGGGACCAAGCAAAGCGAAAAAGAAAAACAAATGTATTGGACAATCAAAAATTCACGTTCACCAACTACTAGGAGAGTTCCATCTCCAATTCCATCTGTCCCTTGTCCACAATACACCCCTCCGTCCATATCATCATCACCGATCGATTCATGATGATCAATCAGCACAATTGCCTTTGGGGAGGGTTTAATCTCATCTTTACGCCCTACCATGGAACCAACTTCTCGACAGGCTCCAATCAACGGGCCTATTGGTCCACCCTGGACTGAGATGCAACCTCCGTCGTGCCCCCCCTGGTACAAGGTTACTATAGGATTCGCGCCGCATCCCGCGGACACATCCTGCACGACATCCCCCCACCCTCCATTAGGGACCTCGTACCCTATACAGGCCTCTAACAACTGGCTCTCAAATAAAACCCAACACAGGCTGTCTGCCAATGATACATCCTTGGCTTCTTTTTTCAGCACGGTGCATATCACATCTCAACCAACTAGCTTCCTGCAAGTCTGGATGATCATCCAGCCACATAATAATCACCCACCGGAAAAGGGAAAGGAGTCAGAAAAATGATTAAATTGAAGAAGAGGGGGGTGGAAATAAAAATAAAAATCAAGAAGGAGAAAATCAAAAGGGAAAACGAAAAGAAAACGAAAAGAAAAGAAAAGCGAAAGAAGGTACTCCTTTCATCCCCACCAGCTGAGATACCAGAAAGGCACTATTTCCCTTCAGCCTATCCGGTGGGCTTCGCTCCGCCCTCACCAACCAATGTGCCTGCTAGCTTCTGGAAAAAATATGCTGTGTACTTCGTACAGCAAATGTGCTCCCTCCATCCCAAGGGTGGTGTGACTGGGGAAAGGGCCATTGTTGCCGGAGCATAGTTCGGTGAAAAGTTCCAATCGAATAGTGTGTGTGGCAGGCTATGACTACATACTGCTCTTTGTATCGGCTGCATTTCTGACTCAAATGACTCCCCAAATGGCTCAACCATGTCGGTGAGCAAACCACCACCGCAGGGGGAAAAACAACCGTTGGATCGAATCTGTCGATCGCCTGATCTCTCATTCATGCAAGAGCTACCGCTGCTCGTGCCTCGAGCACCCGAGATTCTCTTGAGAGCGCTGGAGCAGCCCAGATAGGCGTCACGTCTAGAACATGGATTCTTTTTTTGGGGCCCACAGCCCCTGCCGGGCACTGTACAATTGTACGGAGTACATCGACCGTTCCTCCATGGCCTCGAAAGCTATTGGCTGTCTGCATCTGCCCAAGCTCAGTAATTATCAACAGTCTCCATCATGCGACTGGGGTCTGCACGATTCCCGGGGCGATGATCGTCGCTCCTAATCTGTTCTAGCATCATCTTAATTTGTTTTGCTGCACTCTGCCGTTCGCCGGGTGTTCACACTAGGACAGCTGACTTTACCGGTGATGTCCTGGATGGAGTATAGAACCGTTCGCCAATCAAGCAGCCAGCTGAACCATGCCCAAGTTGGAGTTCATTCCGCTCTGAGTTTGTGCACTTGGATCATGGGAATGTAACATGGATTTCAACGAATGCCGTGTCTCTCCAACGGTTTCGACAGGGTCCAACTTTTATTTTATTCTATTTTCTATTTTGGCAATCGTCTTCGCGCCGTTTTGGATGATACAGCCATTCTCTTCCAGGGAGGCATTCGCTCCTTCCCACCCAAGCAATAAAATAAAAGCGAAGCATTTTCTTTGAAATGAAGTGAAAGGGCGCCAAGGGGACGAAAGAGGAAAAGGGAGAAAAAAAGAAAGAAAAAACAAAAGAGCGCCTTTTCTGTTCGAGCAAGCGTCCTCAAGGCACGCATTGTAGTCCGTCTCATTTCTTTTTCCTCTGTTCAGTGATGGCTCGGAGACAACAAATGCCTTTGACCCTGGTACCGACTAAACTCAACAGCAAACTCGTGGCGAGAGGTTGTATTCTTTTTCAAGCTTAAATCGGTAACCTGAAGCTCCCAGGGCTTGTGCGCAACGAGCTTCTGCAGACTTTTTTTTTCCGCCGCATCTTACCAGGGTCGTTCATTGGGCGCCGTAAAGGGGCCAGGCTGGGTAGACAGCGGAGAAAGTGGGCGTCGTGTTGGTGTGGGCAGGAGAAAATAACATGACATGAATGAAGCGTTTTTCATCCAACATCTGGAAACAGATATCAAGCGACCAGATCCCTCGATTTCCGGCCCTGCGCTTTTCCCCAGTCACCTAGTCCCTGAGCAGAGCGGCGACCAGGCCTAAGCGACTCAACTCTCCCTCTTCTTTGTCAAGACTCCCAATTAATCCACCGAGACGCCGCGCTGAGCCCAACAGTCATCTCCTTGACGTGGACAAGCGGAACATTGGGATAACCGATACTATACATACATATAGGGTTGCAGCTCGAAGTCGAACGCTGCAGTGATAGATGCAGCATACCACTCCTCCTCCATTCTTGACTTGACCTGCCCATCATCTGCCATCCGATACCAGTGAGTTCATCTTGTTCCTCGTGGAGTCGCCATTCGACATCCCCATCCCCGTCTACGGCGCCGGTATTCTTTGGTCTTGGTTTTGCCTTTCGCTCCCATCTTCCTTTGCCGTCTCTTGGCTGTTGCTCCCGCGCTTATCCTTATCCTTATTGTTATTATTCTTCCCCTTCTTCTTCATCTCCTTCTTCTTCCTCTTCTTGTTCCTTGTCGGGTTTCCCCACTACCATTCCGTTGTCTGATATGCCTCCACCACCACATAATCCCCCTTGTACGAAGCCCTTCGTCTTTGGAGCCAACACCTCATGTCACTGGCTACTGCACCGTGGTGGTCAGTAAGCCTATGTCTTGACAGCGCCGCCCCCATGTTGTCCCTACATAAAGATCAAGATCTTGTTCGTCATGGTTGGTGTGGTGATCGTGGAGCGCCGACAATAGCATTCACTGGTGCTTGCCATGCTTTCTTTTTTGTCTTTTTCTACGACATTTCCACTTCTGTCTGGCTTCCTTTCTCCCATGGACTAGTTGCTTCCACCCCTCCCCGCTATCTCCTTTTTCTCATAAACATGCCTTCCCATTCCATTGAGCCGAGACCCTGAGTATTCGGGAGCTTTAATAGCAGCCAAATCCTCCCCTTCATGCACCCCTGAATATTCGTCATCTTTTAGGGAATCGAGAAGGTCCATGATCGCCCATGGGTGTGCTTTAACTGTTTAGCTGAATCACTGACGGTGTTATAGAAGTGCGTCGCTATACCAGGGATCTTGTTATCCACAATACCTCCGAATAAGAGCGACAGCGTACGTCGAGCCGCGCGGCTGCAAGCCTAATACTTCACTAACGTTGGTCGCTAGCAGCATCGCCTTTCAACTCTAGCATACCCCTGTTGGGCGCCGCTCAAGCCTAGCGTTCGCCGGGCGTCCTGTTAGCGCTTCAGCTCGGGCTGATTTCAAGGGTCCCAGGCGCAAATCGGACTCTGGCGTCAAGCTTGCTAAGCCCAAGTACCCTCTTTTATCGTCTTTGGTTCTCTATTTGTTTCGCAGCTTCTTGCTCTATTTCTGTCGCGGACTCGCCAATGAATCATTGTAAGTGTGCTTATGCCTTGTGAATCTTCAATGCTGGTGGTTTTTCGCCATTTCCAAGATGCGGCGATGCGGTCTCTGCAGCGGCTTGCACTCGTGACCCAGTTGCGATGGCCTCTGACAGGCGATCTACATCTGGGGTGACGTTTATTTTCCCTTCCTTTTCCCATCTCAAGCTCTTATGCTCGGTTACACAATTTCAGACGCCCCGATCTCCTTGTATTAGTATGACATCAAGGACGACGGTTTTCCTTGGCCGACAGGGATGGGGACCCTATTTGATACCGGGCTGACCAGCTAATTTTGTACCTTTTTTTTCTTATTTTCTTCGTCATTAATAGTCTTATTTTTTCTTCTATCCTGGTCGTTTAAATTTCTCTGGTCCTTGGTGGTGGATCTGTCTGATGTTGTCTGGTCGTGGCAATGCGTTCTAATCATGGCCTCTTCATTAGCAACGCTCCTGCAAAGCAGCTATCCACTGGACGGTCCGATAAACACCGACGGGGACTATACTGGGGCGTCACGACAGTATTCAGGCTCGACAGGCTTCCATATGGACGAGGAAGAAAATACCCGGAGGGGCGGCGCCGTTGGCCATCCTCTGGCGCAGCCGGTCTCAATACCAGCTACCAACGGCCTGCGATACAACACACAGCAGCCTGCGATGCAGGATGTACCGTAAGTTGTCTTTCAATTCGGACTGCCCTTGTGCTCCACTGGGTCCGCTTGCAGCCACTAGTCACAGCACTCCCTTCTAGTCCGAACACCCTGAATAGTTGGCCAGCAGCCCTCTATTATTATTTCCCCTACCCTCATTATTATTCTTCGGCTGCTTCTGCTTTGGTTTTGCCCGTGGATTTTCTAGCGTTTCTTTTTTTTTTCCCCTCTCATCTATCATTTATTTGTTCTATTTGATTTTTTTGATTTTTTCTGAGGATTTTCTTTTTTTTCTTTGTTCCTTTTTGTCTAACTCTCGTTCCAAGCCCCGATGTCTTGTTCTGTGTTTTATTTCCTGATGATGATTATTCCCTTCCTTTTTCGTCCTGCCCTTTATGTAAAGTGCCGTGCTCAATGGCCTATACCAAACTGCTGCTTGCATGCGTCTAGCTGCTGCTCCCTGGTCGCATTGCCGGGCCTTCAGCATATCCTCGCAACTGATGGCCACACAGCTTGTCGCTCTTTCTTTTATACATGCTGTGTGGTCGCGATGCGTTGGAATCCAAACGTTCTGTATCTTGCTTTTCTTCTGCTGTCATCCTCGACGATTATTTTCGGCAACACCCCAGCAGATGCAGCTTACTGACCTAAGCCGGATCTTCTAGCTTCGCAACTTCTCCTACTATTCTCATGAGCCCTAGTGATTCATGCTCTGGTTCGTCTTCCATTCCTTCTAACCTCTCCATCGTGTTCTTCGGCTAACATGCACTCTCCTTCGAACGATGTGGTGCTTTGCAGAGACATTCTCTCCTACATCGAACTCACTGTACACCCACTCTCCACTTCCGTACGATAGAATGCCGGATTACAGATCCCATCGGGTGCCCCCACTGTAAGTCTGCCTCTATATTTAGCCCATTGTCGACATGCACCGATTGATAAGGAAATTTTGGGACCTGTATAGCCAACCGCCCTCCAACATGTCATCCAGCCTACAGTCCCAGGGAACTTCCGTCTCTGGCAGTACCTCCATTTTGGGGCGAACCGATGGCTATCCGGCAACGTACACTCTCCATCGAGGACCATTCCCACCACCGTCGCTGTCAAGTCTCGGGGAGATCAACAGAATGCCATCCTATACAGCAACACCGCGCGCTCTAGAGAGCTCCCTCGAGCGGACCCAGCCTTTGTATCTTGGCCCGGGGATGTTAATGGATCCAGTCCAGCAGCGCTTGCCACCAGCAGTGGCAGATGCCCCTCCATTCAACGAGACCTGTGTGATTCACACGATAGTCTCAGGGGCTCAATCCATCAAACCTGAGATACAGGCCAAGATTCATAAAGGCTTCTTCCAGGTCGATGACAAGTGGACTTGCTATAGACGCAACTACTTTTCCGTCTCATGTTCGTTCTCTTTGCACCCGTGGCCCAGTCAGCCACTTTACGTGAAATTTTCGGACCAGGCAACCGAACGGGTTCTGTCGTGGTCCATGTCCATCTCAGCTATCGTGAACGCACAGATTGGAGAATCACGAGAGTTGGTTCAGCACACCCCTAAACGGGACAAGCAATCGGAACGAAAACCGGCGAAGGTCGTTTTGCAGCCCTCTCAACCCCCGCCGCTGGTTCTCGGCCATGGAGCGTCCTCCAACAGCAGCCCACATAGCTTTTCGTTGGCCTCGCAGTCAAGCGGGATGTCGCTGGAATATAGCCCATACACCAGTACCGCCCAGCCTACACAGCCCCCAACTCAGCACACATTTGAGCGGATTCAGTTCCAGAAGGCAACCGCAAACAACGGAAAGCGCCGAGCCCAGCAGCAGTACTACAACCTCGTGGTTGAGCTCTATGCGGAGATCACCAGCCCTGTAGGGGCAGGTGAGCCCACGCAATTGATCAAGATTGCCAGGCGACTTTCGCACCCAATGGTAGTCCGGGGTCGCTCTCCGGGCCATTACAAAGACGGCCGGCGCGATAGTTCGACAAGCATGGGTCCGGATGGAGGAAGCGGTGGCTCCGGTGATGGAAGTGGAGGGGCTGTCCTACATTCAGGCTTAGGATCAGCTGCACGATTGGCCCTTATGCCGTACGACCCTAGCCAGCGCAATGGTCCGCATTACGGTCGAACAGATTACCATGGAATGACAGCGTCAGACCAGTCACCGTTAAGCGAGAGTCCGCACATCCCGTCATCCTCGTCATCCGGGTTTGATATCGGACTCATGAATGACAACACCATGGATCCGATGGACTCGATGAAAAGCACGGCGAGCATGGATTCCTATCTGGACGCAAACTTCACCGTCATGAACAACCGAAAGCCGGCAAGCCATTTTCGCCATCAACTTCCTTCTTTCGACTACGATCCCGTGCCTAAGCCGGGGGAAGAGACCACCAGCCATGCGTTTCCTGAGACGTATGACCCTCTGGTGCCTCTGGTGACAAATGGCCAGCACGAATCCCCCCATTCATTCTTGAAACAACCCTCTCGGTTGGCTTCGCATATGTACCAGCACTCTAGTAGCAGTGGCTATGATCCCATCTATTCGGCTGCTCGCGCCACTGATGGTACCTCTTATGGTCGTTTTCACAACTCCCAGAGTCTCTGCGTTTAGCAGACCTCTCCATCTCCTCAGGTTCCATTGAACCCTTCAATGTCTTTCCTGGTTTTCCTTCGTCCTTTCTCTTTTCTTTTTCTCCCTCTCTTTTCTTATTCCCTTTCCTTTCCCCTGTGGTTTATTGCTCCTACGATCTTTTCTCTTGTCTCCCTTGTTGTAATCTGCTTATGATCCCGGAAAATCGTGCTCCAGATAATGTTGTTTTTCTGTTGCGTGCCTGTCCCCCCGCCTTCCCCCTCCGGAATTCGATTTCTGAATATTGCCCTCGACGGCCTGCCGATGAATTACGCCCGCCTATAGACTGAGAAGCGGAGTTGGTTTACCTCTCCCATGTTGAAAGAAAGTGAAATTGCATTGCCATGGGGACAGCCCCTTTTCGGGATCCTTGTGTCTTCTGCCTGCCCCCCCCAGCCTTGTTCCTTTCTCTTTTCTTTTCCTTCGCCCCCCCCCTCCCCCCCCACTTTTTCTCAACCTGTCATTTCCCACCTTCCACCGACCCCTATTGATGTTGCCTCCGGAAGGACCAAAGGGATAACGCATTGCTTCTGTTTCTATTCACCATTGAAGAAAAAAAAGTCCGCGGTTCTACATGTAGACGAGACTCGACTTATGTCCAGAAAAGAAATGACATTATCTACTTTTTTTTTCGTTTGAATAGGCCATGACTCCTAGTATCTGGTAGCGGGAATAATCCCCTGCACGCCCCAGTCTGCCAGGGAGAGGGCTATAGTTCGCAGGACCTGGTAATAATTGGTTCTTGCTGGGGTAGGATTTTCTCCGATATGCTGCCCTATTTGGCCCAGCCAGGTATGCCGCTGTCAGGCCAACCTACCCTGACTTACTGCATGCCGAGAGGGACGAAACGGATACAATGAAAAGCAAAAGCAACATGGAAGGCTGGGAATGGGGAAGAAGAAGCACCCAAAGGGGGGGGGGGGGAGCCAAGGATCGAGTGCAGATTCGTGCATCTCCCGTTGCCCCCCAAGGGAAAGGAGTTAAAATGGGACCGAGGGAGAGAGGGGGGGACCAAATAGAGATCGATTGTCTACTCGGTATACCACATCCGGGATCGATAGAGGATCGATCGGGCGTCGTTAGATACATTTTCCCAGCTGGCAGTAGGAACCAATTCCACGCAAACTAGAATCAGAGGGATCGGAGAAAGGGGAAGGGGAGAGGGGGGGACCCAGAGCGACCCCGAGCCGCCCGGATCTCAGGCCAGATGACGAGGGGAGATCGACGAAGGGCCCCAGGCCGTCCTTTCATTTGTCCCTGCCGGGTTTGGCGGTCGGTCACCGGCAGCAGGCAGCGTTGGGGGGGGGGAGGGAAAGAAGTCGACAGGCCTCCAGCCTTCTCGCTTCTGAGTTCTTAGTTCTTACAGGTACTCTGGACTGGACGGGGCACAGATCGTGGGATACCGATGGTTACCGTGAGATACATACTAGTATACCGATACCGTACAGGCGCGCTTGCCCCGAAGAGGATTGAGGAGGCACTACTAGAATCGATGGAACCAACGAGGGAAAGACAGTGGAAGGGCCACGGAAGGTGCGATGATGACGAGGAAGGAAATCAGACGGGCAGAGGAACAAATCACTCACTTCCCTTCCTCACTCACTCACCTCCTTTTCCGCGCCTTCCCTTTGTTGTTGTTGCTGTTGTTGCTGTTGTTGTGTTGTGGTGGTAGTAGTCGTGGTCTCATTGTGGACTAGCCGGGATCCTTTTCCCCCTCGACCATCCAAAGGAGGAAAGGCAAGTACAACGCAAAGTGTCCCTGAGCGAGCCTCCCTTGGCTTTCCTTCCCCCCTCGGTTCCAGTGAGCATCCTGATGTCTCTGTTGCCTTCGGTCTGCTGCTCGGCCGAGTCAGGACTCAAGTCCTCTACCTCCTCCTTCTCATCTCGCCCCCCACGTCAGAGGTCCCTGGCCCTTTTTCCATGGCTGCGGATGACGGCACTGGAGCGACGTCAAAAGGAAGCTGCAACTAATGCGACGATCATCCCACCAATGCGTTCCATGATCGACCGGACATACATTAGGCCGCTGATTTAATCTCGTTAGTGAGCGTGCATCGCTCCCCCCGTCTCCTTTTAGCGCTCCATCGACGATGAACCCCCCCTCCCCCATCGCGGTAACTATGGGGGGCCTCTACACAATACACAGTACACACACGCCCTCGCCATGCGGATGACCGCTGGCTGACTGGCCGAACCACTCCTCCCTACCCTTGGTTACCCCCCCCCCTCGGCACGTTCCGGCGTCAGCTCAGCCGATCATTGTTTTCCATTAGTCTCGATATCAGTCCGCAGCCATCCATGGCCTACGCCGTCCTCGCGGGCCCGACATTCTAATTTACCGGTCCTTATCGCTCTCCAGTTGCATCTGCATCCATCTCTTCGGGAAAAAGAAACGCAACGATATTTAATAAAACTACACAACATGTCTCCTTCCGTCAACCGTCAAGGCGCCATGAGCAGCAGCCTTCCCCCCACCCCAACAGATTTCGGCAACCTGCGAACAGCTGTCCGTCCCATTTGGCGGTGCAGAAGCAGCGATAAATCATCTCACATCAATCTGCCCCCATACTGCGATTCCCGTAAGTCCTAGCCGGCCACGCTTCACCTTTCCAGTGGTTGCCACCGTCTCTGTATGTATTGCCGGCAAGCGGAGGCCCGATGGCGACCAACTACCCAGACATACTGGATGCAATATTTGCTTTCCTGGGATGGCCCACAATGCACGTCGTACAAGGGGGTTGGGAGTGATGGGGCCCAAGCCGAGCAAGCCACAGAAGGCCTGGTATTTTTGACCGACGGAAGTACGTGCTGGTAGAGGGCGGCCAACGAGGACGCCGGAGTGCCTTCAGGACAAGTCTCCGGATGGTTGTGCAACCGTTCCATCCAATCTGCGTCAGTTCCACCACACCAACGTCAGCTTCCAATGCAACGTATGAAACTCGTCGACTTACCATTTTCAACGGTCAGGGTCCCAGTCGCTGCCACTCCTCATGCGGCCCCTCCTCCTCCCCTACAGGAAGGTCAGTGGATGCGCACAGTCCCACTTGTCTTCCTGGAGCGGTCCATGTCGAAGACTGGGGCCTTCGGAGTCTTGCATGCAATAGCCAAGTACCATCTGAGTCAAATGGGCCCCCCATGTTCGTCTGTACGTCAAATGATCCTGAGCGGCCGATCTTATTCCAATGGATGCTACCCTGAAACTGAGACCATGGACCAACACTGACTTGGACCCCTCGGTTGACCCGCCATGCGGACCCCCTGTTGAGCGCTGACGGGGCTACTATTCGTGTCAACATGGGTCTTTCATGGCTGGTCCCGTCGTGAAGCTGGTGAGGAGAATTTCCTCCCAGACAAACCTTCTTTCTTCCGTGCCCATACCCTCTCGGTCACCCGGCGCTCATCCACCTCCAGGCTGACCTGCATAGAAATTGTCTCATATCCTTCTCTCGTCCTCTGCCCGCCCATTCGCTCGCCGCAAACCTACAGGGATCGCGTTCTAATCTGGCCAACTGCCAGCGCAACCGTCTGGCTTCTTCATCTCGTCTCGTCCCCTAGTCGTCTCAGGTCTCACCCCGACATTGCATGCGTCAAATTCTGTTCCACGAAACGGTCGTCGGATGTTGTGTTCCGCCAACAAACTTCTGACAAGGCTAGACACGCGACGAGAATGAGCATCTGCCCCCATTTCTTGCTGCAACTCGCCTAACCCCCGGTCTGACTTAATCTCACGTCTACCTGCGTCTGCCTATTTTTATTCCGTTTCCTCCCGTCCCCAACTTCAGCTGAGCCTGCAAGTCCCGATCGAACATGTGATTGTCGCCCATTAGCGTTTCAAGTACCAGCCCAGGCGACTTGCATCTATTGATAACCAAACGTTGGGTTACCACCGCCTCAACTCAGACCCCCCATCCTCTTGTCTTAGCCGACAATACCCGCCCTACTTCCCATCTTTTTCGACTCTCGATATCCGAACAGCCAACTTCTGATCCAACGCTTCTTGTTCCTCTTTCGTAGGCGCCATACCCATAGCATTCTCCACTTGTGGCGAGACCCAAAGGCCAATAGAAGCCCAGGCCATCACGCCAATTCCGAACAGAGCTCTCGTCTTGGGCGAGAGGGACCGGTATGAGCTGCGCGGCGTAATTCCTGTCAGTAAATCGCGGTTTGTAACCAAATTACAGATTACCAACCTCCAAAACGACATTGTGGTGCGGGTGAGCGTAGGTAGGCAGAAGGTACCGAGTACAGTAGATGTTTCGTCCTCTTCTTGAAGTCCGGACGGTTGCGAATCCACCTCTGGTTGGAGTTGAATCCCACTAGCCTCGAAGAGGTTAGTGTATTGCCAGTCTATCCCGCTTTCCTATTCAGTCTCTCGAGTCATGAATAGTGACAGCTCTCATATCAGGAACCAGCCTGACTAAATGATCTGTATCTCTGCTTGAGATATATCAGATAGAGCCTGATCTAGCATACTACTCGTCATATACGACAGGCCGGTTATTGCTTCTAGAACAATATCCTTGACATAGGTAGTAGTGGTATACTTGGTAAGTGCCCTACGGAGGACTCCGTAGACAGATAATGATCATCTTACCTACGATGTATTTCTACTGAATTCGATCTCTCCTAGTACTTTGTAAATAGTCAATAAAGCCTCATCATATTGATCTTATATGTCTCTCAGAGATGTACGGAATACGATTCCGTAGTCGTATCGTCGTAGACAACGCATACGTCGCTCCCACTTCGGGAACAGGTTTGATATTATGACATCGAGCTACTGGAGGAGGTACTGATCTTATCAGAATGGGGTAGGAGAAGCTGAGACCTATTCGTTCATCTCCATTCTTCGATTGATTACTTCCGAACAAGGTAAGTAGGTTCGTGAGCTTTCACTGAACGGAGTGGGAATTTTTGGGAACAGACACCGAGAGAGTAATATCACATCGACGTTTAAAAAGGAGAGGACGAACATGATACATGTAATCATAGATGGGAAGATTAAAAGACATAGAAGGTGCAAAATCAAGAATTATGCAGCAGAGTCGATGTGGGATATAAGGGATATACGAATTAAGCAGTGGATATCCGATTGACCGAAAGGAGTTCGCTATCGTGGGCTGAGCTGGTTTATTTCTTGCCGTAGGCACGGTCAATGTCCTTCTGGAAGCGGCCGAGGATCTTCTTGCGCTGGAGCTTCTGAGCGGCAGTCATGTAGCCCTGTTATTTTGTTAGTCTCAATCCAGAAGCGAAGAAAGTTAGTAGGGTCTTACGTTCTGGGGAGTCCACTCCTCATCGGAGAGGACAACTCCGTTGATGATTTCGATACCCTTCAGACCACCGGCCTTACCGGCGGCTTGAAGCTGCTTGAGCACGATGGACGTCAGCTTCTCGTTGTGGACCAGGGTCTCGACGGTATCGCCCTCGATGCCGTTGTCGCTGGCCAACTTCTTCAGGGCCGCTTCGACAGGAACAATGATAGCGATGGGCTTGTCTTGATCCTGGGCGGCGTAGACACAGATGTTGCCGACCACGGGGGAAGAGCGGTAGATGGACTCGAGCTTCTCCAGAGCAATGTATTCGCCGTTCAGCGTCTTGACCAGGTTCTTCTTGCGATCGATGATCTTGAGGTGGCCGAACTTGTCAAACTCGCCAATGTCACCGGTCATGAACCATCCGTCATGACTGTAAGCCCCCTTGGTCTCCTCCTCGTTCTCCCAGTAGCTGCTACTGACACTGCCTCCGCGGATATAGATCTCTCCTTGCGGAGGAGTGTTCTTTGTCAGGTAACCGGCATCCGGGAAATCAACGAGCTTAACTTCGATGGAGCCGGGAATTTCACCGAGCGCGTCGGGGTTCCAGGCCATCGGGTCGTTCAGGGCACCCATAGCAGAGGTCTCCGTCAAACCGTAGCCGCTGATCATGGGGGCAATGGCCATGGACAGGAACTTTTGCGTGTCCTTGGAGACGGGGCCACCACCGTTCATCATGATGCGTAGCCGGCCGCCAGTGGCTTCCTTAAGCTTGCGGAAGACAACGGAATCCAAAAACGAGGCACCCATGTCCGCGCCAGGGAATCCGGCGGTCATCAGGAAGTTCTTGGCAGACATGGCTCCCCAGAACATGCTCTTCACCAGGAAGTTGTTCTTGTTCAGGTTGTTGAGCACACCCTTCTTCACCGATTCCCACACGGCCGGAACACCGACAAGGATTGTAGGCTTGAATTCGCGGATGTCGCCCTTGCAGTTGCGCATGGAAGCGTCAGACAGAGTACGAGGGTTTCCGTAACCCATGGTACCACCCCAGAAGAGGCAGAGGTTCTCGAACATGAATTCCAGGATGTGCGCTTGCGGAAGGTAGGTGAGGAGAGCATCCGAGGGTCCAATGTAGGGGCCAACGATGGCGTGAATACCGGCAGCTATGTGGACACCTAGCGTCAGCATCGTCCTACAGGGGGGAAGATGATCAATATCAACTTACTTGCGGCAATAACGTTCGCATGTGTCAGAGAGACACCCTTCGGGGGACCGGTAGAACCAGAGGTGTACATAATACAGCAGAGATCTTCAGGAGCCGGGGGAACAGGCTCCACGGGGTTTTCTTCACCCAGCTTCCGCAGTTCCTCGAGACTCATGACATTCAAACCCTCGTTTTCGGACTTGAGTCGGTCCAGATGCTCCTGCTTGGGCTCCTGGTCGGTGTTGTAGATGACATGCTTGATGGACTTTGCATCCTTCAGAACATTGGCCACGGAGGGGAGGAGAACGGGATCACAGAAAATGGCGACACTGGATGTCTGGACCAAGGAGTGCTTCAATCCCTCCTCACCCAGGGTGTCATATGCGGTAACGATGGTCAGGGACTGAGATGCGGAACCTGTGACAAGGGATGCGATCAGTCAAAGCCCAACCAAGCAGAAGGGGTCCTTGCGCACGAACCGTGTGACATGGCCAGCCAATTTGCACTGCAGAATAGACAACGTCAGCATTTGACCTGTATTGCGATACACCTCAGTCGCACACTCACCTAGTTGCGCCGTAGAGATGAATCTTGTCCGGCTTCTCCAAACCGAGCTTCCGCAACCCACAGCCAAACTCCAACGCCAGCTTCTCGTATTCGACAAAGCTCTTGTAGGTGTAGCCACTCATCTCAAAGTAGGTCCATTGCTTGTCGACTTCCTTCTCGACACCATCGACAACCTTCTTGACCTTCTTGTTCTCGACGTGGGTTTTGACCAGGTGACGGCTACCGACAGCCTTCGCATTCCCGTACATACGCGCGGAGCGGCGGAAGACATCGTAGGTGGTTGCGACATCCTCAGCGGGTCGTAGGATGAGGCCATCCTTGGCCGCGGGCAGTCGGCGAGGGATTGTCTCGCCTTCGACCGGCTCGTACCCAGGAGCCTCCACGGAGAATGGAGGCTTCTTGTACATGCGCGGTTGGATGCGAAGCTCCTGGAGCTCCTTCTTAGACATCGGCATCTTGCAATGGTATGCGAACTAAACGGATGGAGCGGAAGGAAGTATCTGCAGAGGACAGGTCTGCCTCAAAAGGAACCGGGAGGGCCGTCTGGTCAGTGGTGGTTCGTAATTTGGGTTCAATCTCGTCAATAGAGCAATGGGGCAGGGAAACGCCAAGTTGAGGGGGAACCAGAGGAAGGCGACGGATAGCAGAACTCAAACAACTTACGGCAGTGCAGAACCACTCTAGACCGACGCCACGCCGGGAGATGAGGAGAACAAGTGGAGATTGGGGGTCGACAACGGTTTCCAACTTCCCAGGCGGGCGAGATTGCGGGGGAGAGGACGGGGAGATCGGAAAGGCAGCAGATTGGGGAAGGGGAAGGGGAAGGGGAAAGGGGAGGAGTTGAGATGGCGGGAGGCAGCGCACGACCAGGAGAGGAGAAGATGAAGCTGCAGATCCGGATGAAGTCAGAGGGTTTGTTGTGGCTGGCCGGGAGGTCCAGGCGACGACACTAAAAGTTAGGTGTGATTTGCTTGTCCGCCACCGGCCGCTTCCTTCTCTGCCTACAAGCTACAACTGATTGTCTTTTTCCCCGTGTTTGCCGCGGTCCTCGCTTTCATTACAGTTTCTGTTCGTGTTCCCCTTGAATTGGGTTCTAATTGGGGTGGTGGTCCTGATGGGTCCGATCAATATCCCAGCCCCTTGAGGACACGATGTCTATTCTCGACTATGCAAGTATTATCTAGATCGGTCGGGGAGCCTGAATAGCCGCGGCCCAGCACAGCCGACCGCTTGAGTGCTGACAGTGACACGGGGGAACTGGGGACAGGAACGGGCCAGGAGGATCGATGGAGTCATCGGACAGCTATGCTACCTATAGCAAGGGACATATAAGGCCTAACCCACCTGTCAGCACTGAGCGCACCAGAGGATACACGATCGGACTCGATCTCTCGTCATTGTCAGTGGTTCCTTGGCCAAGCTCAGTTCCGCTTTTGTTGGGATTCCCACCGCTTACTGGAGCGACAGCGCGCGTGACGTCGACTTGGTCCAGCGCAGATGTCATTGATTCTCCTGATGCTCTGAAGGATTCGATTCTGGAATAAATAACGGAGTAGAGCTATCTCATTAACCCCCTCATGCAGCGATCATCGCACTCATCTATCTTATGCATTCCTTATGCAGTCCTTGCTTACATGAGCGTCTGCTGTGTGACCCTCCTGCCAATCAGAAGGCCGGCCGTTACAATGCCGTAAAACCTCGCCATCCAAAACCACGGCAAGATCATCTCAATCTTCGGCCATCGCAAGCCCACCGCAATCAAAACCTCAACGGAGCCCGACTCAAATCTAGCTGAAACACACCCCGGCTGATCTCATTGTGCAACACCCCGGCGCGACTGCAGGTGAATATTCCGATCGTCGGCGTACATGTGATAACTCCACTGAAGTGAAGGGCTGAAGTTGAACAAAGCACCCTCTACACAGTAACAAAATACATAGTAGACAATAATCCACTAGGATAATATGGATGCACTCACGAGCTTCCTCGCCAATATCGGCGAAGAAGTTGAAGATGCAGAAGAGGGTATGTTGTATGAATTGCTTCATCCATAAGCAGTATACCTCCATACAAGCTAGACCCCTACATACATAAACCTATCTCCATAAGCTCTAAATTAACTCCCAAATCTCCCATAGAATCCTTCCTCCTCTTCTCCCAAGACATCCCATCCGCCAATCTAGGCTTCGTCGATTCCCGCGCCACCACCATCGACATCACCATCCACGACCAAGATTATACCATCCACCAGTCTCCGACACTGCTTTCTTCATCTAGAGCAGGTGGTACAACCGGTGCCGGTACGTCAATCCCCTACATACCCATCTCCCCTCCATAACCCAACATCACCACCAAACTAACAAAAACAAAAAAAAAGTCCTCTGGAAAATCACCCCCCTAATATCCACCTGGCTCAGCACAACAACCACCAACCCCCTCTGGACACACTCCATCCTCACCCCATCCTCGACCGTGGTCGAACTAGGCAGCGGCATCTCAGCGCTCATCGCCCTCTCCCTGTCCCCCAAGATCCAGCACTACATTGCCACGGACCAGGAATACGTGCAGCGGTTGTTTCGCCAGAATCTGGATGAAAACCTTTCTGCAGCTGGAGCAGCAGTTAACAAGGGGAAGGGGGTGAAAAGGGGGGTTGGGAAGGGGGGGAAGCAGGCTTCGTCGGCGGCTTCATCGCGGAAGAATAAATCGGCGTCTACCTCCGCACATGATAGCAAAGGGAATGGGAATGTAATATTCACCTCCCTGGATTGGGAACTTGATGTTGCGGGCTCGTTGAAGGAGAGTCTTGGACTCGTATCATCCACTCCTCCCTCTACCTCTACCCCCAGAGACAACGACGAAGCCGAAGAAAAAGACAAAGGCTTCGACCTAATCCTCTCCTGCGACTGCATCTACAACGAGGCCTTAGTAGCGCCATTCGTGCGAACCTGTGCGGATTTATGTCGACTGCGACCTGTCTACACTAACCCTGATGGTCAAGATGGGTGGTATACTGGCACTGGGAGTGGCGGGAGAAAACCGACGGTGTGTGTGATTGCGCAGCAGCAGCGGTCGCCGGAGGTGTTTGAGGCGTGGTTACAGGAGACGATGAGGGTGTTTCGGGTGTGGAGGGTGAGGGATGAGGTGTTGGGGGAGGAGTTGAGGTTGGGGAGGGGGTATTTGGTACATGTGTTGCTTTTGAAGTGATTTATTGTGGAAGTATACATAAGATGAGGGAGGAATTGGGATTTATGTGGGGACGTGATGTCCATTGGCTATGGACGTGGATGGGCTGCAATGAGACCGGCTGAGATCAGCATATAGATACTATGTAAAATACAACACCCAAGCAGTATGGACAGTCTTGGAAGGTAGCAGAAACAAGAACAATAGATGCAGACGCATGACTATGGATAAAGTCTCCCGGGACTGCGATTATAACCGGTATATAATGAGCTATCGTAGGCATCAAATATAGGATCGGGTGGATCAACCATCGAGGTAAGACATTACATTATAAGGGAACGTGCAAACAGCCACCCACGAATACAAAAGAGGGTATTGAAGCAAGAGCTGCATATGAACAGAGACTCGGAATCTGAAAGCATGCTCGTACTATGCAAGGCGAAATGCAGGTTTGCCTGGTCGCAGGGCAATGCGATGAACAGTAGGTATTATGTAATTGAGTATATTACTTGGCCTCGGTGGGGTTTTTAGGTTCTGTGTTCTCTTTTTCACTGTCATGCGGCCGAGGGAATTCGGCCTCGTCTTTGATCACGGGCTTCTGATCCGGCGACGCCTGGATGGGGGCCTCCACCGGCCGTGGAGGAATCGAGGCTAATCGCTCCCGGGGCTCATCCTCGGGATCGCGATCGATGATAGAGGAAATGGATTGTTTCGTCGACCCGTTCGTTCTTGGGACGGGTATTTGCTCCGGGGCCGGAGCCATGGGGACCGGCGGCGCGGGTAGTGTCCTCTCAGGGGCCTCCGTCTTCACGGGGACCTCCCGAGCCTCCTCCTCGTCCGAGGCAGATGAATAGTCCATCTCCTGCTGATACCCTTCACCGTCCGCCGGGCCTGATTCCAGCCGACTTTCTTCGGTGGAGGCCCGGTTCACCGTTGCCACGGGTGGCAGAGGCGCGTTGGGATCAAACACGATGCCACACACCTCGAGCGCCCGGGACTGACTCCCCAGGCTGCGGTCCTTATGTTTCTTGGTCAAATGGCACATGAAGCCATGCAGGGTCACAAAGTCGGCCTTGCCACAACCGGCCACGGGACAGGTGAGATAGACCAGGCTCCCGTCGGATGGACGCTTCCAGAGCGCCCGTCCAGAAGGGTCATGGGCGGCCGGTCGCCCATGTCGTTCCCCCCACGCCTCAACATTCTTGATGGTATATTTCTGCTTCCGCCGGATGGACGTGGCCCCGGTCGGATCGTGGTGAATGTGCTGAGGGGGAGGATGAGGCGGCGGCGCTTGGGTCGGCGGCGGGGGAATTTGGCGAGGCTCCGGGGGGCTCTGTTGCTTGAAGAATGCAAGGGTGGTCGCTGCGTTGGTTTCCGACAACCGGCGAGGCGGCGTTGGTCGAAGCGGCGGCGAGTCCAGGCTTGCATTATATCCCAGTCCCATGGACTCTCGCTTTATTCGCTTCCGTTGCCTACGCAGTTCCTGATTCGTAGGCAAAAGCAATCCATGTCAGAGATGTGAAATCCGCGGAGATTTTTATGTCACGAGTCTAATAACCATACCTCTTCTTCGGCTTCCGCATTCTCGGTCATCCTACGAAACTCCTCGTCCTCTCGCTTCCGGATGGCGAGAAGGTGACTACGGGCCGCCATGCGAGCCGCTTCTTCATGTTCCAGTTGCCGGAGGCGCGCCTCGATGTGATCTATTTGGAAAGGTTGAGCCGGCGGAGCGGGCGCTGGGGCCGGGGCTGTTGGCGGGCCCGGTTCCTGCAGTGGAGGGGGGTGGAAGGGACGAAATTGGTGATGGCCTGGCATCATATGTTCCGGCGGTATTGCTTGCGTCGGATTCATTGCGATTGGATGGAATCGGGGGAGGCTCATGGTGTTGACATGGTGTCCGGGGACACCACCGTTGAGGCCATTCTCGTGCACGGGTGCTACAGGAGGTGCTGCAACGGTCATGGTCAAGGACTGAGGAGGTTCAGTCAGAGAATTAGTTGATCAAGTTTACTGCGTTTGAGTTGTGACATGCACATGGAAAACTTTGTTGGTGGATGGCAGATTGATATGATGAAGGCAGAGGGGACAGCAGAGGGGACAGCAGTAGGGAATTAAATGTGATAGACAGCTGAATCAGATGCAAAGAAGGGGAATGAAGGAGGCAGAGTCAGACAGGGTGAGAAAAGGGAGATGAGAGGGACAAAGGGAAGAAGAAAAGTATGAGTGAATGATAAGAGAGAATACAATGCTAGTGTGTCAGAGAAGAAAGACCCAGACGGCGTGGCAGATGTCGAGTTGAGTTAGGGTACCAAAGAGAAACGAGAGTGAGCGAGAGAGAGAGACAGAGGCAAAACTTACTTACGGAGTACACTTGCAGGAATAATCAGAATAATGTCAAGAACAGCCAAGGACTTCTCCAACCAAGCAGAGAAGAAAAAGAGCCCGCTAGTGCGATGCACCTTGCCCGTTTTTTTTTTCTTTCCCTCCAGGAAATTTCCCGCGGTTTCCTCGAAGGTCGATTTAGTTGGTTGTCACCCACTACTAGAGTTGAGGGACAAATGCAAGTGGTAACGGCTAAGCAAGGGATCCAATGGATTGGAGGGAGGAAGCAGGCAAGAGTGGTCTGTCAGTGGTGCCTGTGGAAGCGAGAGATAGCCGGGGAGCGATCCTAATGGAAGGTTTGAATGAAAGTTTAACGAAGGGGGGAAAAGAACAGAAAAGAATAAAACATGGAATAGTTAATAATAATAATAATGACAAAGCACGAGACGAACAGGACGAGAGAGGGTGAGAGGAAGAGAGCAAAAGATGGAATAATGGACAAAGTAATTAAAACCAGATCAATTGGGACAGCTCTAGACACCACTAGGACGGTAGACTAGCAGCTAATAAAACTAGTCGAGTAGATACTAGTGGTCGACTCCCCAGGTTGGTTTTAGTTTTACGGTCAGTTGGACCTTGGAAACAAACAAGTCCATGGATGAAGTCTGGGACCTGCAACAGCACTAGTGAGCTCCAGTGTCAGATGTAGTAATAATTGACAATAATGCCCATAGTACGATGTGGTACAGAATGCACAACTGTCTGGCGCATTGCCCTTTCTGCGATGAGATCCGATCAACGCCGCTGGTCCGTTCATTGATTTTATCCTATCTTGATTTCATTTTATTTTTGGGTATGGATTAGATGGCAGATGGAGTACGGAGTCGTTGACACACAGATGAGGGCATCCTGACCCCGATTGTAATTACTGTGCCAGATCCTTCAGTCCCCGAAAATCCATCCCTCTGTGTTGTACACTAGCCTGCCCCTCCCAGTAGAAATCCACTACTGTCACACTAGTGACAAACACAAACCAACCCAGTAATCTATATTAAATTCTATTATTTATCGTGTCCCCCGGTCTAGGATCTGAGATGTGTACTTTAGTTGTCTGCCGGCAGGGAAGTGAAATCGACTTTGGGACCAGGGTTGATCTGTACCAGGACCGGAGAGGCAACCCGACACCCACATTGACTTTCGCATGAGCTCAACGATTGATAAAGAAGCCGGGAACTCTACTAGTGGTGGAAAGCTTCCTTCTTGTCTTTTCTTCTCCCATTAGTCGTGCTAACTGTTAATGTACCAGAGCATTCCTTGGCCCTGTTTTCACACAGCCCCAGGCAGGCCAAACAGACAGCCCGTAATTTTTTTTTTTTTTTTTTTTTTACCTTTCTTACCTCTCTGCACTCCCAGAGTTCCAAATTCCAAGCCCTCTGGAGAGCTGGTAGAGGGTTATTTTTAGCTCCTCACAGAGTGGCCAATGAGGACCGGATGATCTACTACTTGTTTGTAACACAATTAAATGAGAAGGAAAGTAGAAGATCATGGAAGATCGGTGTCTTGTGCACATTGCCAGAGTGGATTGCAAGGGTAATACTTACAGCGTGTCAATGGGGTTTGTGTCCCAAACATACTAGTATCTAGTCATCATAGCCGATGAAGCTTCCAGCCAGCTGGACAGGGGGGGGGGGTTGTGAGGGAGCAATGAGAATGGTGGGAAAAGGTCCCCGCCGTGAATAGGACTTACGACGGACTAGGTACTAGTAAGTATCTTGTGATGAATACGGGAGAAGAAAATTGAAGGGGGGCCCCGAGGACGAGGGCGACTGGGTCGGGAGGAAGAAAGAAACACGATGGTTGGTTGGCTGGTCGGGATGGTTCCAAGGGGCAAAGTGAAGGAAAGTGGACTGGGACAGTGGACACTCAACACTGCCAGTGGACAAGATGATGGTACCCGCCCTCCCACCACTGGAGCCTGTGGTATTAAATGAGGACCAGGTCAGGACACAGTATCTTTACTCTCTTAGTGCCGTGGGAGTAATAATAAATCCTCCCCAAGTGGGGAGGACCCAAAAACTGACTGGATCATTCCTGGAACAGGTACATTAACCAGGTGATCGACAAAGGATGAAAGGGGAGATTTTAGCAGCCAGACGCAATTCACTCCGTCTAAATAAATAGACTCGTTCCAAGTGGCTCTCCAATTAGGCTGGACGTGAGGAGGGCCCGGTTTGGTCCAAGTCAGGGCAAAAAATGGGGCGTCAAGCAGAGATCCAGACTTTGGCTCGATCATTATAATAATAACAGCCTCCATTAGGATCTCCGCCAGAGACATCCGTGACACAAGACTGATTCATTAGTCACATATCCCAACCCACATCATGGTCGGAGACGGTCACATCATCACTCATCAGATGGCATTCATCAAGGAGCAAAAAAGCAACGCAATGGCCCGGCTGCCGTCCATCCAGTCCAGTCCACTTGCCAATCTTTCCACCCGACTACTGTGTAGAAGAATGAAAGATTCCTTGGCCAGAGCTCCTCTTTGCATGTGTGTACAGCGATGATTTGTTCCCTCCGCTGCAACGCTCCTGCAAGTCTCCCAGCGGGGATTGGTTGCAGCTGAGGTGCTGCCGATAAGAACAGAAGTACGGAGTACGGAGTACTAGATAGTAAGACTACTTTGGTCGTCCCGACATCATCGCCGTCAGCATGATTCGACCTCTCGACGATGTGGTGTGATGATTGGCCTCGATCGCTCGTCCTGATAGGGAGAGACAACCCTCTTAACAGCCCTTCCTATAGTCCCGAGTCCAATCCAGTCCTCTTACCCCATATTCGATCATATCCTGTTCTGCGTTCGTTCTGAACTCGTGAGGTGGGAGGGAGGTTCTGGCCAGCCGGCCACAAGTCACCATTGAACTATATTAGATCAAATGGGTCAATGATGATGATAAGTCCAAAGGCATGTAAGTCTCCCGCTCCACTCTGGAATCATTGCTCCTGCTTCCCGGTGTGTCTTCGTCCAGCACCAGTACCAGCACCAGCACCAGCACCAGCACCAGCACCCCATCGCTCTCACATTCCAATCAGAAAAATTCTGTTCCCTCCTTCCCGCCCTTGTGAAAAAACTGTACTAGAAGCTTCGAGGGAAGCGATCATCAGTACTCTGGACAAGGAAATCAAACCAGGCATCGGAATCTGTGCAGGACTCGTGGCGATTTCTCATTCCTCATGCTAGTACATGTCTTTCTCCTCTTTTTCAATAGAAGTCAATGCAAGGAATTTCACAACTATTGAGAACCTCCCCGGGCCCCTTCTCTCTCTCTCTGTCTGTCTCCCAAAAAAGCTTCCAGGTTAGAGTAGGAGATAATAATAACAAATACAAAATAACAAAATAAATAAAACAAAGTACTTTCAATCAAGATGATTGACTTATTGATTATTTATCTGGAATACTACGTACTCACCCGTAATAACGAGGCAAGCTACCGGGACACCAGTATCACTTTCTACATAGTAGCTGCATCAAGCACAACACCCAAATGCACTACTCCCTATGCACCGAGTACTCCGTACTTTGTACTTCATAACAATAAGATGACGGACTTTTAGTCCACTGTGGTGTTTATCTCACACCTTCAACATGATTCGCACGCCCATCAAGGACTTTAATTAACACACACACACACACACACACACACACACACACACACACACACACACACACACACACACACCAGCGATCATCAGCCAGCTATCTACCACTCCCTAGGATTAATGAACAGCTGGCAAAGCCCAACGCGAAACCTGTCAGTCTAGTTTGTCGGTCGGTCCGGGATCATGGATGGCCCTGCTTAGTGCTTCACTGCTTTGGGATGAGCCATGAGCCATCACGGTACTAGGCACATTGCACAACCTCGGAATCTGCTGGCTTGGCGTCGAGGCTGTCGATTTGTACTAGGCCCAGATTGGGGGCACTAAGTCATCGGCCAGGACTATCATAGTACACAGTGTCTGTGTATAACCTTGGAACACTGAACAGAAGTAAGATTAACGAGGGTGGGTGACGGCCGGGCGAATGACTGAATGGGGGTTGTGCCTTGTGGACGCGCGCCCCGGTGGCCCACCCGGGCTTCGGACCACTTCCAGAATGCTGCTGAGTGCTGGCCTCCCCGGTTGACGCTGCCATGAGCAATCTGAAATCATCTCCGTTTCACGGTCAACCCAGGCAACGTACTGTCCTACGTATGTTCCAATTTCTAACCATCTAGGAAACTAAGGAGAATCACATCAGGCACAATCTTTAAATCGAGAGGAGAATTTCCTGTTCTATTGTCACAATGTTCCAGCCCACCACATCCTTTTTTTGTGGTCCCCCAGCCGTAATGTCATTAAGTTACAAAATGTAAACTCCATGCATCCGTCCCAACGGATGGCCCTCCTGTCAAAGAAGTGCAAACGCTCACCCGGCCCAAGAGGTATGAAGAGGGGATTGGAGAAAGAGAAATCAGAATACATAGGAAAAAGAAGGAAACAAAAAGGAAAACACCCGTACACCGAAACAGGGATAGATCAGTCAGAGCTATCAGGTATGTATACAAATCATGCGTGTTAAAACATCGGAGAAATGAGGAAAGGCTCTAGGGAATAACGCAAAGGTGAAATACAAGAAACCCTCATGGCTTGACCAAGCCATGAGACGTTCAGTGGTAGTACATTTAGGCCTTGTTCTCGCCCTCGCCGGACTGCTGCTGCTGCTGCTGCTCGGCCTGAGCCTTGTGCATCTTGTCGAAGAGGGTCAAGCTGGCGTTCTGGAGCTCATCGGTCTTCTGCTTGAACTCCTCGGCAGTGGCAGTGCCCTCGCCACCCTGGTTCTGGGCGACGAACTCGCGGAGAGAGGCGATCTTCTCGCGGATCTGGTCAGCCTCAGCCTTGTCGAGGCGGCTCTCGAACTCCTTGAGGGCCTTCTCGGTGTCGTTCACGACGCTGTCGGCGCGGTTGGCAGCCTCGATGGCAGCCTTGCGCTCCTTGTCCTGAGCACCGTACTTCTCAGCATCCTCAACC